GGGAAAGGAGGGCTAGGAATTACCTTAGGAGTCTAGTTCCAAAAATTTTCTTAGGATTTCTCAAAATTTTCAAAAATATTGCAATCTGTTCCTAAAACGAGGGGGAAGTCTGTTTTGCCCTGGAAATGTCTCCTGGATTCTGGGGATTCCTGGCAACCTTGTTTAGGTGGTACTGAGGCTGTTATACTCGGTGACCTGCGGCTGTCCGATGCCAGAACGACGCTGGCCGGTGCTGGGGAGTTGCCCTGTAACTTGCTGATGCAGGAGCATGAGGCCTGGTAGAGAGATCTGGGGGTGCTTTGGGGGGGCACTCCACGGGACAACCAAGGGTTGCTGCTGGGATGACGCTGGCCGGAGCTGGGGTGAGTTGTGTTGCCCTGTAACCCAGCAGGATGAGGGAGTGTGAGGCCTGGAAGAGCTCGGCAGGGAGTAAGACAGTGTTGGAGAACCTTGGAAGGTTGTGTTAGGGATCTCGGGGGTTCAGGGACATTTGTAGGACTTCGACAGGCTATTCCCATATCTTTCGAATAACAGTAAGCTTTCTCAGATGGCTTTTCAGCCAAGCAGGGTAACAGGTAGGAGAGGGATCGAGGATAGTGAGAGAAAGACACCACGCATCCTACTAGTGAAGGGGCCAGCTGGTAGGATAGAAATGGGGCATAGCAGCACTAGAGATGGTGGCTTTGCTGCAGTAAGTCTTGCCGGAGTGAGGTAAGAGGACTGATAGTGGATCCTCGAGGGGTTTCTGAACTTTGTCTGACTCTGAAGTTTCCCCCAAAAAGGTCTGGAATAGTTTTATAATTCTTAGTAGGCTCCTAGTCTTAATTTCATGGAATTTTCTGAATTTTCTGATGATCTTTCTGAGTGTGTTCGTTATGGGACGCTGGGCCCGGTTCCCAGTTTGTGCCAAATTGTGAGGATATGGTTGTATCTATGGGACACTGGACCCGGTTTCCAGCAGGTGCTGCTCCCCACCAATAGATGGAGCTTGTGTTTTCAAAAAAAAAAAAGCTAAAAAGCTTCAAAAACAGAAAAACCAGACAACAAGGGCAGTCTGAAAAGGTTAGACAGAGTAAAGGACTGAAATAGAGCAGGTGATGGTGGAAAGGAGGTGGTTGGGAATCGGGGGGGGGGGACTCTTATCCCTGGTACTGGCACCAAATTCGTGCTGCTACATGCTAGGGGGGTTTACATTGGCTTTCTTCTGTGGTCGTTAGAATTCCGTTTATTTGGAATTGGTAGTTCTTATATCGTTTTTGTTGGGGTTGTTGCTAGGTCGGTCATGGGACGCTGGGCCCGGTTCCCAGCAGGTGATGCTCCCCACCAATAGACGGAGCGGCCCGCCAGGCAAAGTCTCAATCCCGGTGGTTCTCTTACCACCACCAGGATAGAGGGTTTGTACAAGGGCCTGTTAAAAAAAAAAAAAAAAAAAAAAAAAAAAAAAAAAAAAAAGGTCGGTTGTAGTTGGGAGTAGAGATTGCTATCGTGGCAGGGCTGGTGCCGCCTTTGGGTAAAGAGTGTGGAGACTGTGTATGGAGGGACGGGGCTTCGGGCTCCTGGTGGGGCAGGACAACCCTACCCTTGTCCCTGTTATCGGCTATCTTGATTATGTAATTGGCTTGGGCACTGGGCCCCGTTAATAAAAGTGCAATTTCGGGTTAAAAAAAAAAAAAAAAAAAAAAAAAAGCAGATATAGCCCACACCGCATTCTTTTTTTTTTTTTTATCTCCAACTGAAAATTCAATTTCAAAACAGCTGGAAACCGGGTCCAGCGTCCCTTACATGTATGCCATGGTGTGTCGGGCTGGGCGAGGCACTCCTGGCCAGGGCCATCCCTACCACAGCGAAAGAAAGCTATCTTGGACAATTGTTTAAAAGATGAAAAAGGGAGCTTGTGGACTAAAGAAACAAAATTAAGAAGACTCACTAATGCTATTCTCAGAAATGTAGCTATACTTCTACTATCCTAATGATCAATACACTCACCAATATAGCCATTCAATATGGCCAGAAACTCAGATTACTTATGGTACAAAAAAAGTAGAGAATCTTAGCATCGGCTGGCAACCCGGCTGAACCTCCACTCTAACTAAGCCCGAAAAGGCATCCCATCTGTTACAGAACAACTTAGTAGCCCTTGCTGAGAAGCTCTTTTTCTGTACCCGGTACTCCCAATCTGCAGATACTGCCTGTTTGATGGCATATTTTATTTCCGCCCTGATCATCGGCGGTGTCAGGCGTCCACCTCTCCGCGTCGCAGTGTTTCTGAGGTTTCAAAGGGTCCACAAAATGGCACCTCGGATTGTCTCTTCTGCCTGGGCAAACCGCACGTGCGTTGTGGGTCGCCTTGCCGCAACCCCCAGGAGGATGAAATCATCCCCCCAGCGAGTGTCTGCGCCAGGAATCGGGACATCCGATTGTCTCCACCATTCCCAAAACTGGATAACTCACATTGCAACAGAAAGTGCTGTATGTCTTCCATTCGGGTCCCTGAGCATATCTGACACTCCGGGACTCCCTTCACAGTTCTCTTAGCACACCACGTATTAACGGGAAGCGCCAAATGCATCAGAAGCCAAAGCAAACTCGCGTGCTTGCGTACCACTAAATCCATGAGGAGTTTCCAAGAGGATGGGAGGGCTGCAGACAGTCTCATTAAAGTGTCCTCAATCCATCCTGTGGCCATCCATCTCCTGGCCACAGTCCAGTTAACGTCAAGTCGTGGTGTCATTAACTGGTATCCCATTTTTGTAGAGTATTCTGATAAGCCCACCAACTCGTTTCGCAGCGGGTGTTTCCACGCCCAATCTCTAGGATCAATTGGCAAATCGGAAGCAGGAAGTTGTATAAAGTACGGCCTGTAGCGCTGTTTGTTCTCCAACACGCAGACCGGTGCCAACTGGTGAACAGGTGGGAGAGGGAGTTGTTCTTCACAAGGCTGCAAGGGCTCTCCCAAGGATTGTGAGTCGCCTTGTGTTCTCCAACAGGTAACAGGGATCTCCGGCTGCTCCGAATAGTCTTCTATCCTCCAAACACAGTCTGGTGCTTCCTGCTGTACTCGCTTATACCACATCCCTTTAACTGGCTTGAGTCCCGCCCTCAATATCTATGTCCATTGGTGTGGAACAGCGTTCCTCAATTGTTGCAGATGGTCCACCTGGTGCCACAGCCCTTGTAATCTTGGGGCAAGTTTCTCAACTGGTTTCCAGTCATGAATAGCACAGTCCCAAATATCTGCAATGGTGCCAACCCCTCTAGACAACCAGGCATTTCCGAACTCTCCCGGTCCAAAACACTGAAAGGGGGAGCCTTCGGAATTCAGTAAAAGCGGGTTATCAAAAAGTGGCTGGGTAAGTAGTCTTTCATACACCAGTGGGGGGGCCTGCAATGTGGGGCAGACTTTCCTCCAGGCCTTCGCTATGCCAGCCCATATCCCCACAGACAATCTTCTCTGCTGGTAATCCGGAAGGAACAGTGTTAACCATATACATCGAAGATCAGTCCATTCTTGCTGAGAGAATAGTGGGAACTCTGCCAGTTGCCTCCATGCAGTATGTGGGCTCTTAAGGATGGCCCACGGCACCCATCTGGCCAACAGGGCATCGATTTGTTGCTCGGGGTCCAAGATGGCTAGCCCCCCATTCCGTTTTGGTTGGGTTATGATTTGCCAGGCAACCTTGGGCAAAAAGTGATCTTCATTGATTTGTTCTTTCCACAGGTAATGAGTCAACATTTGGCGTATTGTCTGCAAGGCTGGTCGATTCCACAGGTAATGAGTCAACATTTGGCGTATTGTCTGCAACATTTGGTGTATTTAACCCAGGGTTGCATTGCAGAGCGTAAGCCAGCCAGGGAAGTGGATGGGTCTTGGATCAGTCGTGGATCAAATGACAAACGGTGGCCCAGCAGTCTTTCGTGCTGGGCCGGAGTCACTATTCTGACCCCCCAATTAAGTGGGGGCTGTTCGCTCGGGGGTATCAGCACAGATGATTTAGACCAGTTGACTTGGGTTTGCAACAAGTGGCAAAACAAGTCTATAGTATTCCTCAAAGCGAAAAAAGCCTGATCTGTCAAAGGGGAAAATGCAACCGAGTCGTCAGCAAATGCTTCAGACTTAAGCCTTTCACCAGAAGGTAAGACAAAGCCCGGAATCTCTGGGTTTGATCTTATCAAAATATGCATAATTTCAACGTACAAAAGGTACAAATATGGTGCTACCGGACACCCCTGTCTAACCGACCTACTTAACCTAATCGGGGCAGACAGGATCCCGTTCACACAAATTCGGGAGGTAGCTTTTTGCAAGAGGCTGTTTACAGCGTGTTTAAACTTCGGGCCAAATCCAAAGGCAGTCAATGCTGCCTGCAAAAATTCCTAACCGACTCGATCATAAGCTTTGGCCAAGTCTAATAATATAATCGCAAGACTCTCCTCTCCTGCTGCAACCAATTCGACCAGTTGCTCAGCCACCATTACATTGTGTAATATCTGTCTTCCCTGCAGAAAACCTGACTGAGTGCGATGAATAAGAAGCGGAAGAACTTTCTGCAATCTAGCTGTCAGAATGTTGGAAAAGATTTTGTACAAGGCTGGCATCAACGATATTGGCCTGTAGTTTGCAATGTCAGTGCGATCTCCCTTCTTGAAGACGAATGTAATGACTCCTTGCAGCGCAGCTTCAGGCAGCGAAGCTCCGTTCCAAACAGCCTGACATATGAGGAGCAGCTCTGGTAGCAAATGCAGTGAGAAATTTCGAAAAAACTCCGCTGGAAGGCTGTCCAGTCCTGGTGCTTTATGACGAGCCAACGAGGATACTGCATGCGTCAACTCTTGCATCGTGATGTCACTTTCTAGCTGTGGTAATTGGCATTCTAACAGTGTTTTATCCACTTTCGACCAGACATCTTCGTGAAATTGCTGAAGCAGCTGGTGTTTTGTGTACTGAGACTGGGAAGTCAGCAGGTTTTCATAAAAAGGAGAGATATTGGTGACAATGGCATGTGTTTCTACAGCCAAGGGTGCAGCGTCGTCAAACGGGTGCTTGATGGCCAGAATCGTCTGCGGAGCAAGCGGTGGTCTGTGTGCAGCAAAAAAAGCAGATGTCATCCAGTCCCCTTTAACTAACCACCCAATGCGGTTGGCATTTGTTACAGTCCGCATTGCCGGTTGAGTTCGCAATGTCCATCGTTGACGAAGGTCGTCCATTCAGTCCATTAGGGCCTGCTCTTGCTGCGGTTGGGTTGTTGTCATTGCTCGGGCCATAATGTGTGCCAAATCTTCATTGATACCTTATAGTTCTGTCCGATTGATCAAGAGAATGGACTTTTTGATTGTCAAGCCTCGCTGCAATATTATTCGCTGTCCTCCCTGAAACCAGTCCGCCACGGAGGGAAACAAATTTTTTGCAGTCTTCCACTTAGGCCAAAACTTGTGTACAAACTGTGTGAAATGCGATGTCCGTACTACCCATTCTGGCAGGGCACTTCTATCTCATCCTCCTCTAACGGTGGTGTGGAGAAAAAACTCTAAAAAAAGGGGTAGGCGGTCCGATCCCATATGTGGTATTACATAACATCTTGAGAGCCGAGATAACAAAGTATCTGCTGCAAAAAATAGATCAATGCGGCTGCGCGGCAAGTATTGCTGTTGGGGCGCACCCGAAGAAAAAAAAGGTGAAGCCTTTTTCAAAGCGGTGCAAGACACGAAATGCGTCAGAAAAACCGTTGGTGTGAATAAAGTCAGTCAGCTGGACCGCATCTCCCCCCACCGGTCCAGCCCGCATCGAATCTACCTCTGGAACGAGGGTGGTGTTCCAATCCCCTCCTAGTATGAGGTTGTCCACGCGGGGTATCATCCACGGCAATGATTTGAACAGCTCCACTCTATCCAATTGCGAGGTAGGGCCATAAAGATTGAAGATTGCCCATTGTTCGTGCTGTAGGACAAATCTCACCCACACCCATCTGCCAAAAGGATCAGAACAATGGTCTGTCACTACCACCAGTGCTGTTCTTGCGATGAGTATCGCAACTCCACCCTTCGAGCCTTGGGCCGGAGCCCAAAACTGCTCTCCTAACCACCAACCCATTTGCTCCGCAATCGCCGCATCGTTCAATTTAGTTTCCTGCAGCAACACGATTTGTGCACCTCTGTTCCTTGCCAACGATTTGATCAGGGATCGTTTAACAGCCACTCTTCGCGATCCCAACCCCCGCACATTCCAGGAAATCAGCCTGATTTTATCCATTATATTTACATGTCAGGCCAGTCAGCACATTTAAGCATCAAGAATTGATTACAAAATATACTTTTGTGCCAGGGGATATGTGAGTCCACCTGTGTCAACAGCGCCGCATTCCAACAGTCGTATACCTTGGTGTCAACAGCCGTTTGTCCACCAGGGTTTTTGAACAATTGCAGTGAGATCCACCTGAGGCCCGTCAGAGGAGGCGTACCTTTAGCAGCAGGGTTGATAATTGCGTCAAGCATCGGGAAACAGAGAATATCTGTGCGCCCTTTGTCATTTGTTGGGGTCAATCTGACCCATTCCATGGTCGGGTATGGGCGGAGTTTGTATGCCGGTAGCAGCCACTTCTGGGTCTCAGTCAAGACCGACTCAAGGGTGGCCTCGACATGGGTCTCAAAATGGGGAATGGACAGTGAGCCTTCTGAGGAGAGGGCAGCCATCAGTTGTAAGTCCCCGTCCACTGCCAGAAAAACCAAGGGGACTACAACCCATGGCCGACCTGCTGCTATTGCGTCTTGGATAGAGCCTGGGTACACATCTGCACGCAACTGATCCTGTTGGCCCTGATCATCTTCATCTGAAAGCGGTTCAGCTTCGGTGAAAGGTACATCCTCATCTGCCAACTCCGCCCAAGTGACTGACTTGTTCGCAGCTTTCCGGCTTTGAGGCTGCCTCTGATAAGGCTTGTAGCCCATTGTTTTGGGCCCTCCTGATAGGATTTTTTTCCGGTGCACAGCCTCCTTCTGCTGAGTCATACGAATTTCCAGTCCCCCCATCAGCTGATATTTATCGGTGGAGGTAGAAGTCCCTATCAAATCAGTTCCTCGCATTTCTTTTGTTGTTGTAACTATGGTCGAGGTGGTAGGCCCTGTAGAAAGCAGGCCAGTCCCAAGAGCAGCACCCTGCAGCTCCTGCGAAGGGACCGGTTGGGCAAACAGCGAGGCTGTTAAGGATAAACCTCCTTGGGGCTCTGAAGGCTGCAGCCCATCCGACAGTGCCGAAGTGGTCTGAACTCCAGATGCCTTCGGCGAGACAGAACCAGGGGACTGAGTCATAGCGGTTCCCAACGACGCAGAGACAAATCCGGGAGGTTGAATGTTGGCAGCTCCCAAAGACGAAGAGGTGTTCAGAGGAGGAACATTCAGAGGTTGTGTAACTTTCGTACCAGACGATGTAGGGATAGAAGTTGTAGAGACAATCGAGGCAGAAACGGGTTGGGCAATTCCTTTCTTTGGGCATGCCGCTTCTCCTGTTTTGTGGCCATACCACCTACAATCGCGACACCACGGCGAATCCTGTGTGACGACTTCCACGTTGTGCCACCCCTGTCGGGAACGAGATTTAAGGTATTTGGTAACCTCAGATTTTGCCCTGGGATGAAGATCAAATCTGTGGTTAACTAAGCAGGGCGCTGCTTGGTTTCGCTCTGGAGGATAAGCTTTCTGAACCTGGCCATATTCTTTTTTTACGGCAGCCTCCAGGAAGGGCATTGCCAGGAACGGCACCCTCAGAACCCGGATCCAAAATCGCTGGGCCTGGAGGTCGTCCCTGGCCTTGGCCTGTTCAGCCGGGGTCGCCCATGGTTTATAGAGGACTTTGCAAGGTTTCCCCCCGACAATTGCTTTCTCCTCTCGTTGCAAAGTATTTATTAGCCAGTCTCGTAACACATGATTCACCGCCAAATAAGAGATCATGTTAGCACCCCCCGGCCGAATTCGGCATTTTTGTCCACGCACTGTGGCCAAATCCCATCCTGATTCGATGGATCTCATTCATTCCTCCTTTTTGGCAAAAGAAACCCCAGCTTCCAAACCCTGAAACACTACCAGGACCCCATGCCTTCGTAAGTAGTCCACTGTGACTTCGGCCGCCGTAGGATCTATGTCCACTATAACAGTATCGTTAAGGACGTCCCTGGTCGTCGCGATATAACCATCTGCTTTATTAGGGTCTTCTTGGCCCGTAATGAAGCAGTTGCGAACCATGTCGCAGAGCTGTTCATGTTGGCGATCCATCAGCCCGGTAGGCTATTTTGAGAAATGCGTCCCCTCAGCCGAGAGGAGGAATAACCCAGAAGTACTGCGTTACAAATCCTTATCTGCGAGAACCTAAAAGTTGCAAGTTAGTAAGTTCGAACTCCTTATCTATGAAAAAACTAAAAATGCAAACCTAAAAAGGCCGACTGTTGCAAATTGGCAAGTTCCAACTCCTTATCTGTGAAAAACCTAAAAATGCAAACCTAGGATAGCTGACTGCGTACAGCGTCTCCCTTCAACGTGATTAGACTCCCCAAAGAGAGGCAAAGTGAAACATGACCGGTACCAATCGATGTGTAATTGAAATGAAGGTCGTCATAACAACAGAGGGAAGAGCGATATCAATCGTTCACCCCAACATCAATAGTCAACCAGTTCAAAACTCACACCAAAAATTGTCACCAATCAACGAATCTCCCGATTCCCAAAAGTTGTCGTGTGCCTTTTACAAATCTCCCCTCAAACCTCACACGAAAAATAGCTACACTCTTATGAAAAAATTGCCCCTAAAATTCAAACAAAATATAGAAAAAGGCACAATCAACCATTCACCCCGAGAGAGAAGCGTTTTTTATTCGGCTTCACGATCCTTCATCCGTGAACATCCCAGGAGACGAAGAGCCGACGACAATTCAAAACTCACCACTCGTCAGCGTCGCTCATATACAGCTCCGCAATCGTTCATTCATAAACATCCCAGAAGGCAATTAGTCCACAGCAATTGAGAACTCACCACCTATCGGCGTTGCACATGTTCCGTATCTGAAGCCAAGGGCCAAGCCCCTGACGTGTTGATAATTCTGGTATATTGACGCGCGCAGATCTCGCCCTTTGACCGCCCCCGCTTATACTCCATCCAATCACGGCCAACAAGGATTGCCGACAAAACGTCGACCAAGACCAGGTAACGGCAGGGGCATGGCAGTGCCCCCGTGTGAACAATCCCGTCTATGGCGCCCCTTGCGCCTCAGCCCTCATTGTTCGCGCCGCCCCAACGACCAGTTCTGGCTCCACGCAACCAAAATTAGCGGTCGCGTTAACGTGATCCCCTATCGCCCGCGCGCCCCACAGGGCACCAGGGAACCAAAATGGCTGGCAGCATCAGCCCAACACAAAGAAAAAAAGTTGTTCCACCGTACCAAAATGGCCGGAGGGGCCAGCCCAAACAAAGAAAAAAGGTTGTGCCACCAAACCAAAATGACTGGCAGCACCAGCCCAAACAAARAAAAAAAGTCTAACTGTAAAAAAAAAAAAAAAAAAAAAAAAAAAAAAAAGTATAACTGTCACTGCATCAAAGCTTGAGGGCGTGGAGTGACACCTGTAAGATACTGCAAATAGTTGTTATCATTCTCATTCATGTCCTTTTGTCTTTGGGCCTCGCTCCACTGTACAATTCTTTTTTTTTTTTTTTTTTTTTTTTTTTTTTTGTACTGCACAAGATCATAAATGTATCTGGATTTTTTCCCTGGTCACAATACATTCAAATCATTATGTTCGGTCTGTCCAAATGTATCTGGTCCATATCACAGGTCCAGTGCGTGTGAGCATTGTGTACAAGGGCATTTCTTTGTTTTTTTTTGTTTTTTTTTTCTCTAAACAAATGAGCGATGGCCCCAGGTAATTCAGAACTATTTCATTCTGTTCATCTGGGGCCAAGTCCCACCAGCAGCGTTGAGTTTCCTCTGCGCCCGAATCTGGACTTCTTTTTTGGAGAGGTGCCGTTGAGAAAATCTCAATGCCAACTTTCTGTACACCTCCAGAAACAGGTCCAGATTCAGGCGTTGAGGAAACTGAACACTTCTAGTGGGACTCGTACCCTGGGCCCTGGACCCATCAGCGAAGTACTCTACCACTCTGTTCAGTATTTCGATCAGGTGTGGCCTCCAGTGATGCAGTACGGCCGTCGAATACATCGGATCTCAACGGCTGTGTACCCCACCGAGCAGCTGAACATGTTCGGCCGAGCGCGTCCTCGTGTGTGTGGTGTGTGCGTGTGTGTGTATGTTCAGGAGTGATGAGCAATGCCCCCCAGGGGCCCCCAACCCCTATGTATATATATATATATATATATATATATATATATATATATATAAGAAATTAAAAAAAAAAAAAAAAAGTCTGGGCTCAGTCTATTTTGAGCCACGTTCGGGCTGGGTACCGAGTGTTCGGGTTCGGTCACCGAGCCCGAACGCGATGCTACGCAGCTCGACGGCCTGGTAGTTTCCGAGCGGGGACTGTAAAGATGCCCACCTCGCGTCCAATGAGATGCATCAAAAAACGAAAAAAAAACAAATTTGGACATTATAGCTCGTGGCTTTGCGTGGGCGGGAAGTCTGAATTTTATGGACTCGAAAGGGGGGGTGTTGATTTCCGGACTTCGTTTTTCTTTTTTTTTTGGCTCTGAGAAATCGAGCTTGAAATGTGAAATTCAAATATTGTGGTGGATCTGACAGGAACACTTCCGCGTCTGTCCGATGGCCTGTTAGAGGCATCATGAGATACATGGTGATGAAGGTATCCCCATACCCGTTACTTGTTCATCCTCGTGGCTGTGTTCGTGGACACATTTTATTGCCACGGTACATCACTATGAAGACTTACGTGAAGAGTATCGTAGCAACCCATAAATTCGGGCGCACAGCTGTTCTTCTTTGTTTTATGTGCCATTTCAATTCATTTTAAATCAGAAAATGATGCATTCATGCAAATAAAAAATCACTTTGTCTTTTCCAAAAAAACATAGAATTGCTTCACATATCGTAGAATACTTCGCTGGAGGGACATAGCACTAGCATTGTAAAAACCGGGTCCGGCGTCCCTTACATATGAACCGCAGACCTGGAGGGAGATCCCACTAGCATTGTATGTGGAGTAGTGTAGAGGGCGTGTGACTCGCCTCCGCCGTCGATGGGAATGGGGATCGGTGGTTTTGTTTTTCCTGTATTTTAGTCCTCGAAAATATATGTTTTTTTGGAGCATCCCATTGGGTGGTCTTTCTTTTGTTTTGCTTGCCGTGTTCCTCTGGGGGTCCCGAACGTGAGTGAAAATCAGACCCATTTTTTTTGTGTTGCTTTTCACTCACCTTTCACTCACCTTTGGGTTGTGGCCCATGCGTGGAAGAGAGGCCGAAAACAAAATTTTTCGGTGTTTCCCATCATGAGGGAATGTCAGTCCGTGTCAGACCCTCGTCCAAGTTGTCTGTAGTCTCCGCAAATGTTTCACATGGGCAATGCTTTTGTCCTCTTCCTTTGACATGCATGTGCCCCCTTATTTTTTGGGTGGTGTTCGGGAGGGTTCGATCCCCTCACCTACAGCAAATGGTGTACGGAGTTACTCTTGCCCTTGTTTTTTTACGTTTATTTTCCCTATTTCACGCTGCCACCCACCTGTCCCCCACCCGTCCCCCACCCGTCCCCCACCCGTCACACTAATCCACATACCTGGCTAGTGGGATCTCCCTTCTGGTTGCGGGTGGATTTGAACTGCAGTCTGTATTTCTTTTTTTCCTTTTCTTTTTTTTTCGATAGTGATATGTAAGGGACGCCGGACCCGTTTTTTCGCAGATAAGAAAGGGCAAACATGAAATGTTCAATTCTTTAAAAAAAAAAGAAAAAAAAAGAAAAAAAAGAAAAGGGGGAAACAAATGAGGCAGGCTGCTTGGTCCTCTTTTTTGTTTTTGTTTTTGTTTTTTTCTTCCTGAAATTGTCTTCTTTTTATTAGGGCCTTGATGGAACACTGCTATGTCATAGGGTCTCGCCGCACAACTCTTGAAATGCACAAAAGACAAAAATCATGTCGCTGTATCTTTCCATGTTCTAGCAGAAGATTCACTCTCGTTTTGCACGTTTCAAGAGTAGTGCAGCGAGGCCCATAATTGCAGCTGTTACTGCAGTTGTAATTATGGCTGTCACATCAGATTCTCCAAAAAAGGAAAAAGGAAAAGGGAAAAACTCCCTGTCATCATCCAGAACAGCTGTGCTCCTTGACTTTTATTTTGTTTGTTTGCTGTTTTCACAAAGAGACTTCTCCAACTTACAGAATGTTCCGCTACAGACCTAGTTTTTTTTTGGGTTTTGTTTTGTTTTTGGTACTGACCCAGTTGTTACTGCACTTTTGTGATGTCATCATCGGCATGAATAAACCAGTCGCAGTGCGTCTCGGCGGCTCGGCGGCCGCCGATGAGAGCTGAACTGTTCGGTCGAGTTCGTCGTTCAACCTCCAAATGCAAAATTGTGAAGCTCAGTTCCAAAAAAAAAAAAAAAAAAAAAAAAAGACGAACAAGCTCAGTTCCCGGATCAAGGGTGTCGTCACCATCATCATTCCGCAGCATCAGAGGCATTTGCTGAGTTCATCAGGGACGCGCATTTGCTGAGTTCATGAGGGACGCTGGGTCCGCTTCCCAGCACGTGCTGTTTTACCAACGCAATGTTGTATCGCAGGGGACACTGGAGCCAGGACCCGCTTTGCAGCAGGTGTAGCTCCCCAGAGTCCCCACCAATAGACTGGATCCCCTGCAAGAAAGGTAGGTCCTGGAGTGTATACTACACTCATCATGACTCTTATCTGTTGTGGCGGGTGGACTTTTCTTTGGGGGGGGGGGGGGGGGAGGGGGGGAAGATCAAGGGTGCCTTTGTCTTTTTTGCGACTCTTGCTACAGTGGGGTTGTCAAAGATTGGCTGCTTAGTCGGGGGGGAGGTCCAACGAGCAAAGCGGATTGGATAAAGAGGCTGAATCTGGATGGGTTTTTAGCTGAGATGCAGAAAACTTAAAGCCGTTCAATACCGATTTTCTGCACCTCGCCACAAACACGTCAGTTGTACACAACAATTGGATGACTGGC